CGTAGGTTTGCACTCGTAGATGCGATGCCACCTTTTAATAAAGTGGGCTGCGGTTACCTCACTTACCAGACGAAACATAACACTTCTACTTCACGCCGGTATTCGGCGAGATCGTGGTACTTACCCGGACGCAGGCATTCATCCGAACAACTCCTGTGAGTGCTCCCCGTGATGGATTCTATAAAAACGCAAAGAGATGAAAGCCCAAAAGAAGTGATCTGGGAAAGAAGTGCTCTGTGGGAGTTTTTAAGGATCGGGTACACTAAGGCCATCTTCCAAGACTTTGAGACAATACCTAGGGAGTAGAAGTGCCAGAAAAGTTGCACAAAAACTAGTGCGAGCTCTGGAGCACACGAACTCAGTACAAGAGTGGGAATTCCGTCCAGACCACTCGACTTTTAGATGTCAAGGGAGAAGTTTTATGCATAGAACTTTCCGATGTTCTGATGTCAGGTATTGCATACTCACAACACAGCGTGTTTGTGGGAGCGTTCCACTTATCATCCAATGCTGAGTTGGACTCAAAAAGAGTAGCCAAAACGGGAAAGATCCGATTATCGAGAATGCCTGTCGTTGAACTTTGCTCTTGACTGACTACTTATTCGCGTTTTAGTCGATTTTCTGATGTCTACGTTCATTGAAGGCCAGAAACACTTTTGTTTTGTTAGTTTGCAAGTCAAACATGTGTTGGGATGACTGACCATGTGAACGCTTTGCGTAGCTCTTCAGGTTTATATACCCGAAGAATTTTAAGTTTATATACCCGGCTGTATATAGGGTTGATGTTTATAAAGTTATAGGGCCTCGCAACACCTGGCACACTTCGGCAACCCCTCCACGATCTCTATGGATTTGTGTATTATAAGGGGACTCTAATGATTTTATCTCTGTATCCCAGTAGATTAACTGGTAGAGAATGCCTTACACGTGAAGTTCTCCTACAAGAAAATTGTGACAAATTAAGTTAATGGAACTATTTTCAAAATTATTATTAACAATAATAAATACATCGCTATTGTATAATAGACGTTTATAAAAATCATACGATTGTACTTTAAAAATATTTCACTCACATAGCGCATAATAATTCGGATAAAAGAAAATATTCGCCAACAACGTAGTAGAGATACGTGCTTCCGTATAAAAGTAGCGATTGTTGGGCAAATCGAATTTACGGTGAACAAGTGCAGAGTGCAGCGCTAGCAAACGGGGCTCTTTTACTACTATGTGGATGTTTCAACAAGAGCCTGGATGAGCGTAGACCGCTGCTTAGCATTCGTAATTTTGAAAATATGTATAACATTTACCTAAATTGTTTTGAAATTTAATTATTTTTTTAATAGTAGAGAGCTGTTATAAGTGGTGCTGTTTATTATAAATAAGAATCATCGATTTTAAGAAATAACAGCAAAACTAACAAGATAGATTTGAAAATAGAAAACAAAAATTCCACGTATCATCAATATATTATGTTTATAATTTTGATCCGTTGCAAACGTTATTGGCAAAACAACGTTAAAACTCAGTCTTTATGTATTAACACAAACCAAGTAGATGAAAATATGTAATAAAAGTTAAAACACAATGGAGGGATAACTTAGTGGGATTTTTAAAGTAGTCTTGCCTTTCGCCTCGCACCTTCGCGTAAGCGATATTCCGTACAAATTATAATAAATCAAGCGAAACTGATGAGTTAGTACCATTCTTCGGCTTCATGATCAGATATCATTCACTGACTTTCGTTGTTTTTGGGGTTCCGTACCCAAAGGGTAAAACGGGGCCCTATTACTAAGACTCCGATGTTTACCTGTCCTGCCATCAGGCTATATATCATGAACCGTGATAGTTAGACGGTTGAAATTATTAAAAATATAGAAAAATAGATGATGTATTTCTGTATCCGCTACTATAACAATAAAAATAGAATAAAGAATTATTTAACTGGGGCTGTCATACAACAGACGTGACTTTTTGTCGATTTTATATGGTACGGAATCCATCGTGCGCGAGTCCGATTCGCACTTGGCTGGTTTTTTATTTTAATTTTTATTCACTACAAAGATACCACAAGATAAGAAGTTATTAGCAGGAAATAAAAATTCTTTTATATCGATTGTATTTCGCTATCGGATTAGTTGAATTTGTAATATGATATTACGATCTTATATTACGAATTGCCGAAGCCTCCAGATTTATCTACAACCGAGGCCTTAATGCCTGAATAACCTGTTTAGATGTATACGGCAAGCGACCGAAAATTCTTGTAGATACGTTAGTTACCAACTGGTTAAGAAATGTACTGCATGTCGATTACATAAAATAAAACTAGACTCAATCTAAAAATAGAATAAAGCCCTGGGTCACCGGGACTTGCTTAAATCACTTTGACTTAACTAGCTGTCGCCTGGTTTCTTAAACGCTGATCATCGTAAAAGTTAATTAATTAGCTGTCAAATGGCTTTTCAAATGTTGTTTGAGTTGCCAAAAGGATGGTTAAACTCTCTGAATTGATCAGAATGATCTTCTTAATCATCGGAATTGACTTCTACGTGATACGCGTGGCTTTGGTTGTACCTTTAAAATAATATGATTAGAATTGTTTACTGACTTTAAGACTGTCTAATGGCAGATTACACATTTAATTAATTGCCACGCAGCATCCTCGGCTGTTGCACGAATGGGCAGGCCCGTCCGGGTAAGTATCAGAACCTCACAGAAGACCAGCGTAAAGTGGAAGTACGACAAATACTTTCGCGTTTCGTCTGGTGAGTGAGGTAGCCGGAGCCCAATTTTAAAAAGGTTGTCAACGCATCTGTAACCCTCGAGTGTAACAGATGTCCATGGGCGGCGGTATTCACTTAACATCAGGTGACCCTCATTACTTCGTCTGCTCGTTTGGCAACTTTTCACACATAAAAAAAAAATTAAGCATTTTTAGGGTTCCGTACGCAAAGGTTAAAACGGGACCCTATTACTAAGACTCCGCTGGCTGTCGGTCCGTCGTGTCACCAGGATGTATCTCATGAACCGTGATAGTTAGACAGTATAAATTTTCACAGACGATGTATTTCTAAACAAACAATATTAAAAATACTCCTTTTTATCCAAATGAAACCTTATTTTAATATCTAATCACAAAATGCGGTACATAGAGTCATGAAGATAATTAATAAAGTACCCTTTTAAAGATGAACATATTAAAGTCTGCCATTGGTTTTGTATAACCACCGTAAAATTTATATCCTTGCTAAATCTGCTGAACTGTAATTGAATCAAATACTTGTACCAGCACATTGTCGCTTAGATGCTAGCATGCGTAAAGGAACACCACTATAGGGAATTCTGTCTTATAAATTTACTACCAAGTAACTGCGCGGCATTGTGGTCGCACAAAAGCCGTTAATCCTATAGAAAATACCGATTCGATTTTGTAAAATATCTCGCAACAATTGTTATGGGCAAAAGCGGCCCTCTTTTATATTTCTCTAAGTCTTAACTTTGTCTATACTCGTACAAAAATAATCAAGATTTATCAAAACAAGCAACGTGTAGTTTTCTGTTAAAAAATTGTCAAAGGTCATTTTAAAAAGAAAAGCAAAATATTGAATTATTGTTTAATTGATTAACAACAATTTCATTAACTTGAAATGAAAATGGGTAACCTCATTTACATTAAAAGTTAATGACATTGTTCTTAATAAGCTAACGACTAAACGCTATATGACTAGATATATCTAGTAGCTATTGGATACGGTTTCCAGCTATACTTGACAGTCCAGAATTTTATTAAATTCTAACGATTATATAGAATCAACTAAGTAATGTTAGTTTTTATTCAATACTAGCTTTTAACCGCGGCTTTACCCTCGCGGCCAAAGGGAGTTAACAATGAGTTTTTATTTTACACCAGAATATCTCGCAGATTGCTGCATTTTTTCCTACTTAGTTGACACTTATCATTACCTATATTTAGGACAATTCACATTATATCTTTATAAATTATAGCCTTTGTATTATTAGTAAGCTATTTTATTGTAGTTTCATTAAAATCTATATAGTAGTTTTTGCGTGTAAGAGTAACAAACATCCATCCATACATACATACAAGCATTCGCGTTTATCATATTATAAGTAAGGATAAATATATTCTCTTGTTATTGTGAAGATTATTTTTTAATAAAAAAAAATATGTTTTAATTATTATTTAGGGTAAGAGAAAGCTAGCATTGCTAAAATGCAAAGTAGATAAGCTTAGTGGCTAAAGCGTCTGGACGCGTAATTCGGAAGGCGCAGGCTAGTAACTCTAAGTGCAGTAACTATCACAAAAAATTGAGAAAGTTTATTTTTCTCTTTTTTTGCTTTTTTGATTTATGTAAGTATGATAGTACAGAAATTTAAATTAATATCGAATAATTTTCCACAAACAGATTAACCATTAGACTTTGACGACCAGTGCGTTGTCTATGATCTCATCTCATAAATTTGGTACTTAGAACTAATTTAATAATAAGAGATAAGAGGATATCCGCAACTTACTTATTGAGTTACCTGCCCACTTGGAACAGCAAACCCCAAATTAAGAATGTCAACCAATATTGGATACAGGAGGACGGAAACCTGTTATTGAATGTAATGTTTTGTTGGCATAATGGTTTCCATTGTGAGCAGTCTTTCAGACCATAAAAAGGTTCCATTATTGTGACATGATTTAAATATTTGAAAGTAATTGCCAGAAAATATTAATATTAAGGTTTCCATAAAACTATTATATATTTATATAATTTACTGTCACATTGTTTTACTCTAATGTCCGATTCAGTTCTTAGTTTGACTTAAAGCAGTTTCACAAAACTATATCAAAACCGATTTAACCTTGCATTAACGCTATAGTATTGTAAAAGTTACATATTGTATAATACAAAGGATCCCCCATAGGTACGGCTAATACAGGTATTCTTCGTTTCTCCGGTCACTCTCGAGGCGACACGTGTATAGTCTCACACGTATGAGTGACGGTACACCTGTGCTAGCTTTTCGTAAACACACTCGCTGGCAGTCGACGCCAAACCGCCGCCCTGCGTTGAGCTCTGCTCCGCGGCGTAATTAGTGGTGTGATAGTGCGACAGGACGCTTTTTCTGTACCATTTTAAATTCAGTGTTGGTGCACGTTTCGGTGCAAGTGTTCGTCGAAGTTTTAACCTGTTTGAACCGATATTCGTACCCCTTTTATGATAAAATGGGCAGAACATAGTGCAAAGGTGACGACAAAAACATTCCACCGCGACACAAAGCACAAATGTGCATACCCTAAGTGCAATGTAAATTCAGTATACCATGTCGGACCAGCGGCACCTTCCCCATCCGTCTACAACGAAGGCCGCGCCCAGGCAACCCAAGGCGCAGGCCCGGCCCGCTAGAGTTCGGGGCACGGCTGCCCCGGAGCGAGAGATAATTGGCATTTTTTATCAGCGCGAGGCGGGGCGCGATGCGCCTGCGGTTGATGAGTCACCGCGACAAGTTTACACGCTAGGCTCATCACCGCGACGGCGTTGCAACCGCGGCCGCCGAACAGCGCTCGCCCACAGCCCCCCAAAGACACTGATCAGAAGGAGAAAATACCACGACGGGGTCCTACCCCGGCACACCCGATGGATGACGCCGCGGCCTCGTCCGCGGTGTTAATCTACGACAACCCACCCGGATCCATCTCTCCAGATGAGGAGCCCCAACTGGAGGCTAGCACGGGCGGCTCGTCGATGCGTCAGCATAACGGCGCGGAGATTAGCCGGGGCTGGGACCGACTCAACGTCGTATGCGACGTTGGCCCCCGAGGTGTTGGAACAGTCCCGCCCTGCCGTACCGTCGCCGAGCTACGCGTCAATGGCCTCCGATCCGCCGTCCCCCAATGCTGCCAGATCAGGTCCATCAAATGAATCCGTCCCTAAACAGGATGATGCGAAGCATTATCCGCCCATCATCGTGGAGTGCTTCCCCGAGTGGACGAGGCACTTTACCGAGCTAAAAAAGCAGCTCGGCCACGCTCCGAACGCCCGTTCATTCGGGCGTGGTATGAGGTTCCGCCCTAACTCAGCCTCAGAGTTTCGCATCATCCAGCTTTACTTAGTGGAGGAGAGTAAAAAAGATCGCACTTTCGTGTGGTATTGTTGCTCTCCTACCGAAAACCTTCCCACGAAAGTGGGAAAACGTGGCCTGCCGACCGACACATCACCCGACGAGTTGGTAGAAGAGTTCCAGGAGATGGGCTTCCCGGCTACCTACGCCAGAGTAATTCCACCCAGGCGGGGCGGACCATCCCGGCCTGTTCCACCTCAAGCTGGACCACCTCAACCGTGAGGAGCTGGACCGGATCTACAAAATCGACGAGGTCCTCAACATGCCGGCCATCACACTGGAGGCCTGGGTTAATAGGAGGGTCCCGGCACAATGTCATAGGTGCCAGGGTTTTGGGCACTCCTCCTTCAACTGCCACCGACCGCTGAGGTGCGTCCGGTGTGCAGGTGAATACCTCACCGGCGAATGCCCCAACAAGGGCATACGCTACAAATGCGTTAATTGCCCACAGGACCATGTGGGCAACGACATCCGTTGCGCCATCCTGCAAAGGGTGGCAAAAAAGAAGGGCATCCAACTGCCCCCGCCTATTCCACCTGCCGCGCCGAGCACGACGGCGCGGCCAGCTGAAGGTAGGCGCTAGGATCCAGAGGAGGAGCATCCAACCCAGCAACCGCCACCACAGGAGGAGCTCCAAGAGACAGCAGCCCCAGCACATCTTATGGCTCCAGCAAACGAGCCTGTACCTCGGCAGTCAGCTGCCAAAAGGAAAAAGAGAAGGAGGAAGAAGAAGAAGCCGAAGAGAGACCTAGCAGCAGCAGGCGGCGGCCCAACCTGCTGCCCCCCTGAAGGTCACGCGAGCCCCTAGTGGGCCGGCACCGGTCGCTACCGAATGTAGCCAACGCCAACAAATTTCAAGGCCCACGGAGCGGCCGGTACCATATCACACCATTCAAGTCCTTCAAGGTCACTCCCCCTCTTCGACTGCGGAGCATATGGAAGCAGCACAGCGGATCGAGGGGGCCATACCCCAGTTGATAAGGTTGATTACAGGAATTTTAGATGACATCCTTTGCAGGCGATATCAAACGCCATACAATCCCTCAACACAGCTCGCAGAGACCTCCGACCTTAGAATAGTTTATTGGAATCCCGGCGGTATCAGACAGCGCGTCACCGAGCATAAAGGCCTCGTCAGGCAATACGACATTCATGTTAATCGAGACCAAGCTCTCAGCGTCTGCTAAACTGCGCATCCCCAACTTCGCTATGTATAGTTTGGACGAGGTCAACCCGGAGAACGGTCACCCCTTCAGGGGGGTTGCCGCTCTCGTCGGGTGCGACCACAGCGAGCACAGCGAGTTGGAGCTGAGCAGCTATGTCAGCACGCGCACCATTGGTGTGGCCGTATACATCGACGGGCGAGAGATGCGTATTTACTCAGCATACAGGCCGCCAAACTGTAGATTCAATTCCGCGGACATTCCTTCTATTTTTAACGCTGAAGTTCCCACGATTATAGCTGGGGACTTAAACGCCAAACACCATTCTTGGGGGTTACGTATCTTCTGTTTGATGACGCAGGGGTGGCTGGGTATGAAATGCTCGGACGCGAGAAGCGAGCAGACTCATATCCCAACCGCCCCGCAACACGTTCCCGTGGTTTTGGACATAGTATTGTGCCACAAGATGTCGCGTCCTATTCATATCAACGTCATTTATGACGCCGACACTAACCACCTTCCAATTTTAATTACTGTGGGCATCGGTGCGGACTCACTGTTTCCGAGGAGACCCAGATTCGGAACTGACTGGGTGGCCTACGGGAGAGCGATGGCAATCTTTAAATACGGCGAGCGCTCTATCTCAACTCCGGAGGACGTGGAGACCGCCGCCAACAACATCAGCTCCAAAATGCGGGAAGTGTTGCAGGCGACGACTTCGGAGGTGGGATATGCGAGGCCGTGGCACGCGCTCCCTGGTAGAATACTCAGCCGGATTCGGGAGGAGAGGCCACTTCGGAGACTTTGGGCCCGCACTAGGTTCCCGCGTATCAAGTCCACTTTAAATAAGCTCACGGAAGAGCTGTCGACTGGGGTTAAGTTAAGAACTTAAGGTACGGTTATGAACTTTCGTGGTGCTTTGTGGAAGGAGAGGATTGAACAGGCCTTTGACTCTATAACCTTCCTGCACCAACTCAATCGGCAGCTCGCCCGTGCTCCGCAACCCGCGTGCCCGCTTCTCGGGAGCGACAGGACAAGGGCCGTAGCAACCCAAGACCGGGCCGACAACTTGGCACGACATCTAGCGTCACAATTCGTTCCAAACCCCTCGTCTCCAAACGCCTTTTCTTTCCGCGTCCAGGCAAAAGATAGCGTACAAGAGTTTATATCAGCGCTGGTGCCTCGGCCGGAGGGTGACTTGTTCACCTCAATGGCTGAGGTACTAAAGGCGGTTAGACACCTTCAGGAAAGCACCTGGAATTGATGGCATTACCACCTTGGCCATCAAAAAATTTCCAAGAGGGGAATTGTGTCGCTGTGCTGTTTATATAATGGCATACTACGAACTGCACACTTTCCCTCAGAGTTGAAAGTGATCACCATCCCTAAGCCCGGCAAAGATCGCCGACAACTGGCAATCGTCCTTCCGACCCATCGGATCGGACGACCAATCGTTACCGTCCCATCTCACTTCTTTCTCACATTTTAAAATTATTTGAACATTTGCTGGGCAGGATTGCTCCCTGCATTGCACTATGTAGAGAGCAGTTCGGCTTTCGCAAGGGTCAATCCACCACTACACAACCGTGTGCCTCACGGCCCAGTACAAACGGGCCGTTTCGGTCTGGGGTCCGTTCTCGACATGGAGAAGGCCTTCGACCGAGTGTGGCACACGGGCTTAGTCTATAAACTCATTCATAACACCAGTACACCACACATTCTATTCAAACTTTTGGCCTTACAGGATGGATGCCGGCATTCCTCAGGGAAGCTGCCTTTCCCCGATCCTGTACCACAGAGGAGCCCGACCCGGGTTAGGACGACAGCGTGCTGTTGGCGCTGTATGCGGACGACAGCGCGTTCTCTACCTCCTCACATAACACGGCACACGCAGCGATGAAGATGCAGCGCCAGTTAAACCTACTACCACCTTGGTTGCATAAGTGGCGGATGTCCGTCAACATCGACAAGACGTCTGCCATCTATATTAGGAGGGTTCGCAATCCTCCCGGGCTCGAGCTGCGACGTTGAGCAATTTCTTTAGAGTCCAGCAATACGTACCTTTGATGCAGGATAGACCGCACGCTGCACATGGTCCCCCAGGTCGACCATGTGGTGCGACTGGCCAGAGCAGCAAAGGCGGTCCTGCACCCAGTTCTTGCATCCAAGCTACCGTTACGGGCCAAATTGGCCATATATAAATCTCACATACGCTCGCGCTTGACCTATGCAGCCCCAGTGTGGTATGGGTTGCTCTCTGCAACGTAGAAAGCTAGGTTACAGGCGCAGCAGAATCCCACTCTGCGTGTGATCACGGCGATACGTCAGGAAGGACGTGTTAGCTCAAAATTTAAAAATAGAAACCATTTCTGATTTCGTGGCCCGATTAGCTCGCGGTATGTTCGACCGCGCGGACAATGGGCCACATACACATTTACACAATTTGGGCCCGCTACAACCTCGCCCACCGGACGAGTACCCGCTCCCACGAGATCTGCTGAAGACTCAGGCTCAGGGGGAGCCTGAGTCTTCAGCAGATCTCGTGGGTCAGCCCCCAGGTCCCACTCGCTACCACTCAGTCCTAGCCAAGTAGTTAGGTCCCACATCCTTCCCATATCCTAGACACCCCGAAGGTAGTCCACTCCGTCCCTTCCTACGTAGTTTAGGTTCACAACTAACATTCCTGCCACACTAAAACCGCAGGCACGGTCAGGGATTGTACTTTTTCTGTTTTTCAGAAGGAGTCACCACCGTCTGGCCTTCCGCCAGCCGAGTTATCAGCCCGATCAATGGGGATGGTCCCCGAAGATCGTAACGCGTTGGACCCACATCCGAACATCCATCACAGGTATTCCTCTATCCACACGCAAACTCACTTTTGCACTTTTTTATCTTTCTCTGTCAGTCTCTTTTGACATTTTCACAGATTTGGACATTTTTAAAATTTCATGTTTACAAGGACATTTTTAAAATTTTTTTCACCGAAGCATTTGCACACACTCCAGAGCTCTCAGGCCACTTAATATCGTTTGATTAATTCCAAGAAATAACTGCCCATCACCCTAAATATATTAATTATTTAAAAATTAAGCTCATTAACATTTAAGGAATATGAAATTGGATTACTGAGCCATTAAAATAATATTATTCAATTATTCAAATAATTTTCGTGATCTTCATTGCTTAAGAAATTTGGATCCAGTTTTAAAGTCGGATTGAGTGGCAAGTTTTGGACTCTTAAGAACTTTCTTCTTTTCCTTATTTGAAGTTCTAAGTAAGATTTATTTTTCCTTAATACTTTTATTACTTAAAGCCATAAAAATTTATACGCAATAATAATACTTTATTAACAAATCTCTTAAAGTGGAGAATTCAGACAATGCCTTGATGAAATAGAAAATTGCGACGGTAGATACCGACTATTTTAGTTTTAAGACATTCCTTTGATTAGTAATATAAATACTTTGACACTATACACGTTGTAGTCCTCGGAATTGACATCAAACTTCAATTATATCAAAATTATATCAAATTAGTAGCTGCACTTCAAAGAAATTTTATACTTTGCAAAAAGTAAGAAAAATCAAATTGCTTACGTAATACCTACTTGAAAGTCCTCGATAATTTTAATGTGC